CACAAAGTATCGGACCTTCACGTCATCATCTCTGGCAATCATCACAGCAGGGGTGAGTTTTTTGTTATTGACACTACTTCACCCCAATTGGTTCTCGGTTTTCCTTGGCTCCGTCTTCATAATKCCATGTTAAATTGGGCTGAGAATAGAGTGGAAAAGTGGAGCAATTTTTGCTTATCTAACTGTTTGAAATCTGCTGTTCCTCCTGTTTCACCTTCTGCTCCACCCCCTGAGGAAACAGATCTGTCTAAGATTCCTTCTGCTTATCATGACTTAGCGGCCGTGTTTAGCAAAAGTAAAGCCCTTTCTCTACCCCCRCATRGGCCATACGATTGTTGCATTGATTTGCTTCCTGGCGCTCCTTTACCCACGAGTCGTCTGTATAATCTGTCTGGACCCGAACGCGAAACCATGAGAGAATACATAGAAAATTCTTTGGCATCTGGCATCATCCGTTCTTCCACTTCACCAGTAGGAGCAGGATTTTTTTTTGTAAATAAGAAGGATGGTACTCTCCGCCCGTGCATTGACTATCGTAACCTCAACCAAATTACCATAAAGAATAAATATCCGCTTCCACTCATTGATTCAGTTCACGAACAGTTACATTCGGCCATCATTTTTACAAAACTCGATCTCAGAAATGCTTATCATTTGGTCAGAATAAGAGAAGGTGATGAGTGGAAGACGGCTTTCAAAACACCCTTAGGACATTTTGAATATCTCGTAATGCCTTTTGGTCTCACGAACGCTCCTGCTGTTTTCCAAGCCTTAATCAATGACGTGCTACGAGATTTTCTGGGTGACTTTGTCTTTGTTTATTTAGACGACATTTTGATTTTTTCTAAGGATCCTGACCAACACAAACACCATGTCTGCACAGTCTTACAACGCTTGTATGAGAATCAGTTGTTTGTTAAAGCTGATAAGTGCGAGTTCCATGTCCCCTCTGTGTCATTCCTAGGATTCATCTTTGAGAGGGGGCAGTACCGCACTGACCCTGAGAAGGTTCGTGCGGTATCTGAGTGGCCCACACCTGTTGATCGCAAACAACTTCAACGATTTTTGGGATTTGCTAATTTTTACCGTAGATTCATCAAAGACTACAGCAAAGTCGCAGCTCCTTTAAACCAATTAACATCTACCCTCAGGACTTTCAAATGGACCCCCGAGGCAGACAAGGCTTTTTGTGAGCTAAAACAACTTTTTTCTTCAGCACCCATTCTCTC